AAATGACCCATTGAAAAACCGTGCAGACAACATTTTATAAATTATTTCGATGCCTTCGAAGATCCAGCTGTATGAAAAATGAGAAGTCTCGGTTGTCTCCTGTTGTCTGTGACACGGATACATCTATTGTAAGTATACATTTGGGAAGCAGTTTATTTTGAGAAAAAAGGAGTTTTTACAATGCTTTCAGAGTTCAGGTCCTTGTTATTTTATATTATTGGTAAATGGGACTGTTTACATCTTTCTTGGTGAATCTTCCTTAGCAAATCATGATTCATAACACGCGCCTTTAAACTTTTTTAAATACTGTCAAATTGTATCCATTTTTACCATGAAGAATTAAGTAGTGTTTTTTTAAGTTTTTAGTTTTTTAAGGACTTTGGACTCATAAAAGGTTCATCAAAGTTTAAAGAAGTTTTACAAATTTTAAAACTGTTTTTTTCTTTACATTTGCTTTTTACAAGTTAAATATTTCAATGAAGGGGCTAAAAAAATAATGATAATTTGAATAAAAACTTAATACTGCAGATTTTAAATTTTCTAGAACACTGATATCGCTAATCGCCATTTATGTTTAATACAGTAGACAGACCTACAGACAGACAGGCCCTTCACTAGTAGGTTCTTGGACCTCTAATGAGAAAAAAGGGCGGAGGGGGGCTATGGAAGTTGAGCCACCCCCGGGATTTATTAATTTTCCACATGGAGTCCCTGCAAAAAATTATTAAGTATTAAGCCCCCTCCCCTCTCTCTGAACCAATTCCATAGGCCACTGGTGGGTTCATTAGGGGTTATCTAGAATAGAGTTAATAGCATGCAGCCTCTTTATAATCTTTGACCTTCAACTTTTTACTCTTGTATATTATCACTAAATACTTTTCAAGTATATATAATATATATGGCCCATTAAACGGGTATTTTTATGATTATTACATAACATTACGTAAAAAGTATACATTGCATAAAAATCAAGAAATATCAAGTTTTTTACAATTTTTAATAAGAATATATCAATTCTAAAACTATGAAATAGAAAAAAATATTTTCGAAAATCTTGCTTTCATTTAATATTTTCAATATATAAGAGAGGATATAAATGTGCAAAGTATATTTTGACGTTTTATATGAGTTATGCAAGTTATTAAACTGCTGAAGGAGTTTTAGCAGACCTGGGAATCGTTTTTTTTATGATGATCAATATAAATCCTTATGAAATTTTGTGAAAAAAAGCATTTTTAGAGATATTTAAATAAAAACAAATGAATTAAAAAGGTTAAACCGCGAAAAAAACATTGTGCATTGAGTACCCCATTGCCACAGACTCTAAATTTTTAGTCTAATTTTAAAATATCTTAAGGTTGCAAAGATATAGGGGTTAGACGATTTTAGTTTTTTGTTTGAGTTCTGAGTAAATTCTAAATTCTAAACATTTTAATATCTTATTTTTTAAAGATTTTTAACGTAAATTAAACTTACTTCAGTTTGATGTGAAACATAGTAAAACTATGGCACATCAGTCAACAACTTACAAAAAAATAAAGAAAACCTTTCCCAACAAAAACTAAAAAAAAACTAACTGTGCCCAGCGCTATATCAGTATATCGTATCACAAGATGCAACTTGATCTAAACTTATCCAAAATTGCACAGTTGGGGTTTAAAAGTCAGTCAAAGTGAATTTGTGTAGTAAAAACTCCATGTTTATACTTGTTAGCGGTACAAAAAGAGAGAGGGAGGGGGGGCGGGAATAAGAATGTACTTATTTTGATTACATTAACATATAGCATTTAATTCAATGAACATTACTTTTATTATCGTAAACATATTATTTCTGGAAATTGACGTTTTAAGTAAAATATCATAAATTATATTTTTAATTTTTTTTTCAACTTATAATTTTTTCAGCTACAATTTACAATTTCTTTTCTACCGCTTTTTTTCAATCTTCTGATATTTTTTACTGCTGATTTACAATACTAGTGATATTTAGCGATAAAGAAATCAGTAGAATTGATTAGTTAGCTTCTAGTGCTCAAACTAAGAATAACAAATATATAAAATTGTAATATAAAAAAATTTTTCTCTTAAAAAATGTTTTAATTTTTGTTAAACATGTTAGCAGCTTGCAAATATATCAATGCACAGTTAAAGCAACTAAATTAAAAACCCAACTGAACTAGAATACATTTTAACAATTATAATATATCATACTAAAATTATTCGAGTTTGAATAAAGCTCTTCCCTCATATAAATATATTTGTAAGTAGAAATATATCTATATGTTAGCTAGTTATAGCTGCCCAAACGAATGGGCCAATCTAGCTGAAATTTTCAAGGGAACCCTTGAGTACTCTGGGGGTAAAATAGGCTAAAAATATTTTTTTATTTCACTCCCTTTGAACCTTTGTCTGGTCAAGGAAACAGCACCCTTTAAACCTTTGTCTGGTCAAGGAAACAGCACCCTTTGAACCTTTATCTAGTCAAGGAAACAGCACCCTTTGAACCTTTGGCTGGTCAAGGAAACAGCACCCTTTAAACCTTTGTCTGGTCAAGGAAACAGCACCCTTTGAACCTTTGTCTGGTCAAGGATTAAAGATTTAAGAAATTTAAAAATTCTTAATTACAAAAAAAAACCAAGTCAAAAGTTTGTCTGACAAATTTATAAAATCTTTTTTTAATTGGATTGACATTTTAAATTCTATAAAATCATGTTTCTTTGAGACGGCTTTTGCTAAAAACTTTGATTTTCTCATCCCATTATCTTTGCAACGTGATGCCATATACCTTAGATATATTAATCTATTAGTTCTGTCAGAACAATAATCTGAATTTGATTTATCAAAAGTTTAAAACATCAATAGTTGCAAAGATATAGGAATTAGAAAATTTGAGTTTGTGGTATGACTCAATACCTTCGAACAGCCTCGTAGTCCAAAAATGTCCAAAAAAGTGATGATAGTGGCCCCTGGACCCCATCCAGTGGAAAAGGGTTAAACAGCATTTTAGATAGTTTTAATTTCTTAAGTGAGAAAGCGAAGAAACGACATTTATAAATGATTAATTTATGCAACTTTTTCTTAAAGATTTACAAATTATCATTTCATGTTAGTTTAAAGAGTATATCTATGTAAAATTATGTACTTTAATGAAAAATATATATCTATCTATCTATTTAAATAGATTGTATAAAAGAGACTGCGCATACGTAGTTTAAAATGATTATCATTAAAATCCTGATAAAGTCAATCTAAATTACCATTACAGTCCCTTTAAAATGTATTTCAAACTAGTCCAGGTTGTACAGTACAGTATAGTACAGTACAGTACAGTACAGTACAGTACAGTACAGTACAGTACAGTACAGTACAGTACAGTACAATACAGTACAGTACAGTACAGTACAGTACAGTACAGTACAGTACAGTCCCTTTATAATATATCTCAAACTATTCCAGGCTGAACAAATCCTTTTTATTAATTACATGCCAGAAACATTAAATTGGTTCTCTTTTACAAAATCATGTTTTCACTAGTTTTTTATAATCTATTATGATGTAAAGTACGTTAAACAATTTTTCGTTAAAAAAACAGAAAGACTAAGCTGCAGTTTTTCCGTTTGCGACATATTTTATTTTCTGTTTGCGACATTATATTTTTCGTTTGCGACATATTTTAAATTTAAAGATAGTTGAACTAGGTATGCAGTGTTGTGGACAAATTTTTTAGGATTCAGTTAAGACATAGAACAAATTTTAAAGATCTGTAAATCCTAAGTTTGAGCGCGAGTGTCGACGTTCAAAATCGTACTTTTTCAGAATTGTTTTATTTTTATTTTTAAATAACGGGAACAAAAAATGTAAACAAAATTCCATAGTAAACTAATTAGTTTTTTAAGAACAGGTAGAGAAAATACAAATTAATCTTATCATCGAAAATAAGTAATCTTGTTCAATTATTAGTTTCTATTTTTACATTATTCTAGTTTCACAAAGATTTTCTGCAGATTTTCTGGAATTATTACTGAAAAGACGACATTTGAAGAATTTGTAGAAATCTGCGAATAAATTCAAAGAAACTAAGAAATTCAAGAAAATGATGAAAACGAAATAATTGATTCTAGCATTGATTTATTTCTTTTGAGAAATATGTTTCTAACCATCTAATTAGTTTACTGTATAATTTTTACTTTATTTTTCGCCGTCGTTATTTAATAATTAAAAAAAACCGATTCTGAAAACGTACCAACCCAAATTCATGATTTTGAACGTCCACTATGCACTCAAACTCATTAATTATACATCGTGGACAAGTTTAATATGTCTCAAATGAATCCTAAAGAATTTGTCCACAACACTGCAAACTCAATTCTACTACCTTACATAGCCCGGTCTGTCCCTTTAAACTAAGTTATCAATGTTTTAGTTGTGAATTAAACAGAAGTAGAAAAATGTACATGTCACTTAAAAAGAAGTAAACAGTCCATTTAAATCAAGGAGATATAGAATACAAGGTGGAGGTGCAAGTCACTTATGTAGAGAAACCACAATTGAAACTATTCAGTTGCCAAAATTATAAACATAGATTACTAATTCAAAATTGATAAGCTAATATGTAAACCGTTCTAAATCGGACATCGCCATCTTAGCATGGATACTGAATAGTCACTTAAAATTAGGCTTACAGTGCCTTATATTTTTTGAAGATGCTAAAACACTCGAACTTTCTAAGGCGCAGCTTGAGGGGGGGGGGGGGGTTAGAAATCACCACGCCACCTATTAGGACACTTTAACAAAAATATTTTAAAAAATGTCTCTGCTATCATATCCGTCATATCCATCACTTACTTTCATCAAGATTCACCGTTTACTAATTCATGTTTGTTTACATCAGATCGACTGCCTTTGTTATTGTTGTTACGCAGAAACTAGTTCTTCAATAGTCCGAAAACGTCACAGCAAAGTGTACACAAATCCCATCGCCCCCTCCTTGTATTCTATACATCTTGATTTAAATGATGTTTTATCAAAAATGATTTTGCAGGAAATCTTCTCTTGTTCTTCCTGATGGTCATGACAAGCATCAAAGAAGAACTTCCTTTGTCAGGTAAATCTGGGAAAAATAGGAAACATTTGTCAGGTAAATCAAGAAAAATAGAAAACATTTGTCAGGTAAATCAAGAAAAATAGAAAACATTTGTCTGGTAAATCAGGAAAAATAGAAAACATTTGTCTGGTAAATCAAGAAAAATAAAAAAACATTTGTCTGGTAAATCAGGAAAAATAGAAAAAATTTGTCTGGTAAATCAAGAAAAATAGAAAACATTTGTCTGGTAAATCAAGAAAAATAAAAAACATTTGTCTGGTAAATCAGGAAAAATAGAAAACATTTGTCTGGTAAATCAAGAAAAATAGAAAACATTTGTTTGGTAAATCAAGAAAAATAGAAAACATTTGTCTGGTTAATCAGGAAAAATAGAAACCATTTGTCTGGTTAATCAGGAAAAATAGAAAACATTTGTCTGGTAAATCAAGAAAAATAGAAAACATTTGTCAGGTAAATCAGGAAAAATAGAAAACATTTGTCTGGAAAATTAGGGACATTAAGACAATTTTTTTGGGATTAAGAAAATTAAGTTTTTAATTTTTAACGAGGCAAATTTTGAATTTTTTTCCCTGATTAAGCTAATAAGTTGGCTCCATTAAATAAAGAGATTCTTATAAAGCAAAAAAGTAAAAAAAAATATCTAATGATTTTAAACAAAAAACAAACATTTTCCTCTAACTTTCCAATTTTTTAAGACACTATTACATGTCCTTTTTAGGATTAAGGAGTATTTTTTGCGGAAATCGTCAATCATGAATGATTAAGGCCCATTTTTTTAATGATATTTTCAAATTACGAAAGAGTAAAACTGTATTTGTTAGTTTAGAATTACTGGAGTAGCATTTTGTAATTTTCATAGCATTAAATTGTTGTAATTACTCTACTTAAACAAATAGTAATACAAAACTAATCTAGGATGCTTTTAAAACTGATTACTTGCCAAAAAATGTTTTAATCAGTCCGTCTTAGTAACCTGATAGTGAAGACCTGAGATATTTCTAACTATTTGATCTGCCAGAATTCATAGTTTGACACTGGGTTCACAGATTTAAGGTTAAGAAAATCAGAATTAGTGTTAAAGACTCCATTCTTCTGCAAAAAAAACTGTTACCTTTTTTAGCTTTGATGAAACTCCAGTCATTATTGAGAGAGGAGACGATTTACCAGATGCGACAGATGGTAATTTATTTAAATAATTCAAATAATTCAAATAATTCAATTAATTAAAATAATTCAGATAATTCAAATAATGCAAATAATCTAAAAAATTTAAATAATTCAAATAATTCAAATAATTCAAATAATTCAAATAATTCAAATAATTCGAATAATTCAAATAATTCAAATAATTCAAATTATTCAAATAATTCAAATATAAATAATTCTAATAATTCAAATAATTCTAATAATTCAAATAATTCTAATGATTCAAATAATTCACTGCGTTCTGAGGGAAAATACTTTCATTTTTATCTTAAACAAATTAGAAAAAATAAAAATCCCGGTAAAAACTTTTTCGCACTTAATAATATCCATTACAACGACATAAATAGATATTATTACAAACTATGTTCTTTATATATGTTGAATATTATATTATATTAGCTGATGTTACAAAATAAAAGAGTTGACATAAATATAAAGTATTGAGAATATAGAGAAACAATTACAAAAAGAAAAAGAAAAAGAAAAAAATTATAATGAATAGTGCACTTATAGTATTTGAGGGAATTATAATTAACGAGAATGTTTTAAAAAGAGAATAATATGTTAACTGTTTTCTCTTAACACGATATTAGTAAAAAACATAAAATAAGTAATTTCACTGCAAAAATGAACCCAAGGATACATACTTTAGAGAAAAAAACTCAGCGAAAGCGGTTGAACGAGAAAACGATTTTAGTGGTTGCTACCAATTTTTATTAAAAAAATCAAAAAAGTTACATATTTTATTCTGTAATGAGTCTAGGCTAGATTTCAACCACTGGTTCAACTGCTTCCACTGAGTTTATTTTCTACCTGTGCTGGACTACTCATCTTTCAAACAACCCAGTTATAATAAATTTAAAATTTAAAAAGTATATATTATTGAAATAAACCATCACACTATGTTTGTTAAATCGAACCACCGAAAACATTTAAAAATGACGAACATCAAAATGTTAACAAAATATTTGAAATATTTTACAAATTTTTACATCCAAACACACTGGCCACAATTACTCAATTCACTTTTGAAGCTATTAATATAATTAAATTATGGTTTAAATCAATGTGACGGATTAAGAACTGATCAAAACAATAACAAAAATTGTATCAAGGTTGATTTTTTCCTAGCCATTGTTTTAAAAATGTCTTTTTTATTCTACATAAACCAGTTTCTGAGCCCCGTTGAATTACAAGACAGAGAGAGGGCTGCTTTTAACTTCCTTGGGCTTCTGCCTTACGGTTGAAGTGAATGGAAATTCCCCAAATCCTGAAAAGACGACATCTAGTGTTCTATCTGTATGTAGTGTAGTGTTCTATGCTGTGAATAATCTAGATACCCCTGATACCCCCTCTGCTCTGACCGCTACACCGGATCTCAGTCCTTCAATGAAGAATAAGTTCAGATGGACAGATAGTATTAAGGTATTATATTAATCACATTCAAAGGAGATAATTCATATTTTTTAAACCCAAAATTATCATCCCTTGTAACTATTTATCTGCAAAAAAACAAAAAAACTTTCCTCCCCATTTAGAGAAATTAAAAGGGAAGAAATTTTATTTTTATTTGTAAAAAAGTTTTAAAGATAATTTCTAAAAAATTACTTTTCCGAAGGGTTCACACACAAGGGCATTTTCCGTATTGTAGGTTTTTCCAAATGAGCTATTTGCATATTTAAATCGCAAAGGCAAGGTATATCATAGGTTAATCTAAACCGTGCAGCTACAGGGTTACCCACAAAAAATGAGACTTCAAAGACCATTATACCGAATTTGTATCGTCCGTTTTCTTGCATTCAGAGTTCCTTGTAGATAAAAAAGGCATATTTCTGTTTTTGACCATTTATTAAATCATCAAAATACTAAATTCAATGCAGAAATTAAACATAAAGCTTAAAATCGTCATGTTTTAGAGTTTCATGGGTCGTCTTTACAGTCTTATCCTGTGTAGGCAACCCTTTATGTAAAAAAGTTGTGATCAAAGTTAAAATTTGTGTTTTCTATCAAGAAAATTGTTATATCTGACAATTTGATGTGAAGAGAAACCGCAATAAAAAATCTTGATAATAAGATTACATGGATATTTTAATCACTTTAATCTAGCGCCAAAAACGATAAAATGGATACAATGAAAAATATAAACCTATCGAAAATTTGACTGTGTAGTCCGATTTGTATCAAAATGCTCTTATTTAAATTCTTAGATCCGTAAGAAGAAGAGTGTGGACGAGGGTGTGAAGGGTCCCCTGGCAGCTGAGCCGCAAGATGAGTCATCTTGATTTTATTTTGAATATAAAGTGTTTTGTAGCAAGTTTTTATTTTCTTTAAAAACTCTGTTCGTATTAATAAAGTAATTGTAAGTAAACATATATGTAATTCGAAACATATCATTTTTGATAAATATATGTCTTTTGGAAAAAAAATGTTTAAAAATTGATAAATAAGAAGAATCAATGTCGAACCTGCTTTGTAAGAAAGGATTCAAAGGTTGTCTTTGATAATTAGGATAAGTTGCGGCATTTATTCGTAAACCAATTTTAGAAGAAGAATTATAATACTAATCCCACTATCTCGGCATTTCTTAAATGTTTTTAAGATTGCGGTACTTGGGATGGAGATTTACTGTTACTAGAATACTTATCCCATAAAGGTTTTACCATTATCACAACTGTTTTAGAAATAGCAACAAAGGCATTTAATTTCGGCTTTATCAGAGACAGCTATCAAGGGTACTGTTGAAAATTGGACAAGTAACTCTATAAATAGATGGTCACTTTAAACTTAGTCAAAAGTCTTTTTAAGCAGAAAAAATAGTTTTAATGTTTTAAAATAACAAAATATTATTGACGCAGTTTTGAAATTAAAATTATGATATGCTGATTTTGTATCCTAAATGTTGATAAAGATTTACAGTTTTTTTATTTACTAAGCATTATAAAAGTAGAACTTTTTCTAGTTTATTCTGGTTATATTGAGATTCTACAATATAACTGCAAATCCAACATATTTCTATACATATTACATATTCAGATGTAAAATATATTAAAATTATAGAAAGTCGATTTACACAGCTTTTTAAAAGTTGGATCAGATGACTCGCCTCAAACTCTAATGTTCTAATCCCTTTTCAATGGCATCAGGATATAAGGATTAACAACCAGACCATATGTTTGGTTCAATGGGTACTCTTGTAAATCGGACTTATAATGGAAAGACACGTAAAACAATGCTGAAAATCACTTTTAAAAAAACATCTTTTTGAATTTTTCAAAAAATTTCACTTTTAGCATTTGTCAGTTATTCTGTTTTTTACCAATTCAAATAAATTGATGTTGTAGACCTTGGATATTTCAAACTATGAATTCTGTTAGATCAAATATTATAAGTTTAAAATATCAAAAGTTTACTCCTTTAGGTAAATATATAGGGATTAGAAAATTGAGTTTGTGGCAAAGACTTCAAGAGAAATTTTCTATTTGCATAATATTGAATACCTTTATTAGCTACGGTGAATGAATATATTGTATTACAGCTAAAAACTGACTACTGCAGACACGGTAAAGTTCACTTTAGAATCAATGTTTACCCCTGAAATGTGGATTTTTCGTATCTTTTTTTTTGTCGGGACATGCATTTTAAATATTTAAATGTTTAGGGTCTGAGAGATTAAAATGTGACTGAACATATTTCGATATTTCTCCAAGTGAATAAACTGCACATTCATTGTTTGTGGGTGTGTGTCTGGATTTCCTTAAAAATATACAAAAACTGTAGCACTCAGGATTGAAAAAGGGATATTCATAATTACGTGAAACAAATAAAATATTTTAATAAAATGAGAATCAGAAAACTCTGGAATAGAAAAACGCCTTTTAGACTCAAGTTATGACAATTCTGCTTTGTAAATATTGTAAATAGACCCATTTCACTAAATAGAAGATTTAAAACGTTACTAACAAAACTATTAGCTTTGTTAGTAACATTTAATACACGTGTTATATTTTCTTTTATGGACAAATTAAATTAAAAGAGTAAGGAAGAAAAAGAGAAATGTGTAAATTACAAAAATGTTTTCTGTAATATAAAATCCTTAACAAAATGCAGGACGCGAAACACTTAAAGGGACTGTAAGCGTAATTTTAAGTGCCTCCATGCAAAGATGTCAATTTTAAGTGCCTCCATGCAAAGATGTCAATTTTAAGTGACTCTCCTTGCAAAGATGTCAATTTTAAGTGAACCTCCATGAAAAGATGTCAATTTTAATTGACCCTCCATGCAAAGATGTCAATTTTAAGTGACCCTCCATGCAAAGATGTCAATTTTAAGTGACCCTACATGCAAAGATGTAAATCTTAAGTGACCCTCCATGCAAAGATGTCAATTTTAAGTGGCCCTCCCTGCAAAGATGTCAATGCCCGAAAAACAATGGAAGACTTAAAGACTTTGTCTTATCAAGTATGAATTATAAAATATTGATGATAATTTTTGAAAACTGGTTATTTTTATGATGTTTTTATGGCGGAAAACATATGAGAATTATCAAAATAAACATTTTAACCAATAGAAAATAAAACAAATATTTAAAACAAAAATACATTTTTTTTTTATCAATTTCTTCATAAAGTTTTAAAATCTTTATATAAAGGTATACTATCAAAGGATGAGACTGAAAAGACGACCAAAAAGTTTTAAAATATGACAATTTAAAACTTGATTTTTAATTTCTGTCTAGAATTCAGTATTTAGAAGGCTATCTATTTGTTACAAATAAGTAGTCCTTGATGCAAGAAAAGGGGCAAATTTCGCACAGTCGTCTCTGAAGTCTTATCAATTGTGGTCTGAAGTCCTATCATTTGTGGTCTGAAGTCCTATCATTTGTGGTCTGAAGTCCTATCATTTGTGGTCTGAAGTCCTATCATTTGTGGTCTGAAGTCCTATCATTTGTGGTCTGAAGTCCTATCATTTGTGGTCTGAAGTCCTATCATTTGTGGATAGAACCCTGGTGGAACAGATTTATGTAAATTGAAAATTCTGGATTCTTTTCAAATAAAAGTATGAAACTGAACAAGAATATAAAATATTGAGAGTATTGAAAATGAAAAACATTCTTTCAAAAAGTTTCAAATTTTTTTTGAATATGTACAGATGTATAGATAATGTTATACCAAACAGTAATACTTTGAGGTGTATTTAAAAAAAAAGAATATCTCATTTGGGCAACAAATTGATACGGCCAATTTTAGGTTGCAATATCTGCAAACGCAAAAAATTTATGAGAATATTGCTAATTATTCCTTTAAAAGTTTAGTTAAAAACAAGTGCTTTAAAGTTATAGAATGCATGCCAGGTTTACAAAAAAATGTTATTAAACAAGAGAGGCAAAATCAACCACTTAGGCTTTGTGACACTTTAAAATCATCCCAGTCTTGAATATTTATGAACTTTTTGTTGCAGCCGGGATCTATGTGTCCTATAAGACCTACATTTCTATTGCAACATGTTTGTTCATAATGAAAATAATGGTGGAAAGCAAAATTACGAGAAATGTCAAGAAAATCGGAAAAGTTTGAGAAAATAAATAAAAACTTATGGTTAGAATTTTATCCTCTGAGACTGGTTTGAACAGGCCATCTGTTCTTTTTAACTTGGTTGGGATAAGACAAGAACTTTTAAAGTTAATTAAGCCCTAATCTAAATCGATTCAAATGAGCTTAATTCTTTCTTTCAGCTCTAGCCTGCAGCTGCTACACAGATTTGTTGACGGAAAACAGCAACACGCTAGACAAATCAGGATAATAGGCCAGTTAGGATTCTGGTGGGGGATGTTTATTTTCCCCGGACAATTCTTTCCCGATAGGCCGCACAAANGGTTTCAAATTGATTGTTTCAACTTTATATCCTTGGTTTCATGCAGATTTATTCAACTTTATCTCCATGGTTTCAAATTGATTGTTTCAACTTTATATCCTTGGTTTCATGCAGATTTATTCAACTTTATCTCCCTGGTTTATAATTGATTATTTTAACTGTATTTCCCTTGTTTCAAGATGATTGTTTCAACTTTATTTCCCTGAATTTTAAATTAATTTTTTAAGCTTATTTTCCAGGTTTCTAGCTGATTATTTTAACTTTATCTTCCTGGTTTCCAACTGATTGTTTCAACTTTATTTCCCTGATTGTTTCTACTTTATTTCCATTATTGTTTCTACTTTACTTCCCTGATTGTTTCAACTTTATTTTATAGGATATTTCAACTTTATTTCCCTGATTGTTTCTATTTTATTTCCCTGATTGTTTCAACTTTATTTCCCTGATTGTTTCAACTTTATATCCCTAATTGTTTCTTCTTTATTTCCCTGATTGTTTCAACTTTATATCCCTAATTGTTTCAACTTTATTTCCCTGATTGTTTCAACTTTATTTCCTGACTGTGTCTACTTTATTTCCCTGATTGTTTCAACTTTATATCCCTGATTGTTTCAACTTTATTTCCTGATTGTTTCAACTTTATTTTCTGACTGTGTCTACTTTATTTCCCTGATTGTTTCAACTTTATATCCCTGATTGTTTCTACATTATTTCCTGATTGTTTCAACTTTATATCCCTGATTGTTTCTACATTATTTCCTGATTGTTTCAACTTTATATCTCTAATTGTTTCAACTTTATTTCCCTGATTGTTTCATCTTTATTTCCTGATTTTTTCAACTTTATTTCCCTGATTGTTTTATCTTTATATCCCTGATTGTTTCAACTTTATTTCCCTGATTGTTTCAACTTTATATCACTGATTGTTTCATCTTTATTTCCTGATTGTTTCAACTTTATATCCCTGATTGTTTCAACTTTATATCCCTGATTGTTTCAACTTTATATCCCTGATTGTTTCAACTTTATATCCCTGATAGTGAAACTAATCACAACTTGTAAAAAGCTGTAAACAGAAACAAAACAAACATTGTAAAAACTAATGAAAAGTTTATCCTGCGGGTTGAATCTTTTCTAAGCAATCGTCATAACATTTTTGTTAAAAATACTTTTAGATGCGAGGGCGGTTATTATTTAGATGCGAGGGCGGTTATTATTCAGCTGAATTGTAGCTTATTAGATTGTTGAAATTTGGAAAGGAATTATGTCTTTTCCACTAACACAGATTTTCTAATCTCTATATCTTTGAAACCAAATGGTGTAATCCTTTAATAGTTCAAAGAGTTGAAACTTTGAATCCTATTTCTTATAGAATTCATAGTTTGAAATTCAAAGGTCTTCCACGTCAGTTTGCAAAGATATAGGGATTAGAACATTTTCTTTTATCAAATAAACATTAATTATCCGAAGAAACAAGATAGTGGAGAAGGAGGGAGTTGGGTTTTCAAATAAAATCTGTTTATAATTGATCCATTATTCACTGCAATTGCTAATT